AGCTTTCTTCAAATTGTAAGAGACTTTGAAACCTACTAGATATTAGCTAAAGTTTCATTAACAGAATCTAATCGATAGAAAAAATTATCTGACAAAAAATTTAATGTGATTATTCATCTATCAAATTGTTCTCGACATGTAACTGTAAAATGAAAATTAAATTATATTCAATCGTATTTCTTATGGAGGGCAGCCGCAAACAATAGCAAGGAGAATACACATCATTAATCTTACAAAAACTCCCTCCTACCTGACATCCATTAACTAATACATAATACTAGGGCCTTATTCAAGTTGAACAAACCTGATGGGAAGTGGATTAATATTAACATGCTAGGGCGAATTTAAATTCTAAGGTTTTGTAGGTTAACAGCACCTAAGTACAAAAACATAAACCTTGTTATGTAGCCCTTAAAACCAAGTTAACTATTGCTAGTTAAGATGTATGTAGTTATGAATAGTAAGATTGAACCTTTTGTACTTTATCCAGTAGGAAATAAAAAGTCAATGTCCTTATCCATTATTATTATCTGGACAGCTTAAAAATGGAACTTCACCAAGTAATCTTCCACGTCATTACATCCCAATTACAGACTAATTTCATTTCAGGGTTGTACCCAGCCGTTAATAACTTATACAGCAGAGTTCTGAGGTTACCAGATGGAAAATATGCTTCTCGACAAGGATGATCATCCAACATATGCCAAACAATGCTGCCATATCAATCATTTTGCAGCATATAATGCTCAAAAGTCTTAAACCTTGCAGTGTGGACTGGGATTTCTTCTATTTTGAATTCACAAAGATGTTGAATTCTTTAGGTCCGAAACAGAACCTGCACAGATTGCTTCCGGTTACTGCAAGAAGGCGCTCACATTCAGTTGTTAATGGAATTCTGAGGCTATATTCTTCTTCTCCCTTATAACTGTAAATTATTGAGGATCATCTTTTACTACCTTTGTTGGCAGAGCTTTAATCATCATCAAAATTTTACCCTATCTTAACCAACATCATTCATATAGTTGTGTCGAGTCCAGTTTTGGTGTTGTTGGTTACATTTTGAAGGATATTAGTGACATGCTCACTGCCAGAATAACTATCATTAAAGTAAGATGGATAATCATTGTTTGGTTCAGCTTGGGTCATAATATGTGATCATCAACAAGATACTATGCATAGGTATTAAAAAATGACTCCATTATTTATCTACTGTGCGTTCGAAGTTAAAGAACTAAGGAAACCTATTTTTCATAGTTTTAATAGTTTTAAATGTCGGCCGACACATGTTGGATCAGAGGCTAGAGCGACACGGATATGGTCATTTCAAGTCGGATATCGAAGTCCGTGTCAGACATGTTGGGGGATATTGCGGACATATCGGCCAATTTTCAGCCTTGAAAAATAAAAAAGCGGCCTTTTTTTTAGTTGATAAGCATTGGGGTTTGGGATTAGTACTCAAAACCCAAACCTGATTAGTTCTTTTTTTAGCCTTTTGTTCCCATAGTAACCCGATAGCATATAATACAGATTAGGGCAAAGAAAAAAAATACTGCTCTTTTTTCCGCCGCGATCTCCTCTTGATTGTCTTCGTCTCTGCAAATTAAAATTGCGAATTTATAAAAACGTGATGTAAACAATAAGTTTGAACCGTAGCTTGAAATCAGTCCAAAGTCTAACACTTTATGTCAATTTTATACAAGACACTCTACTTTATGTTAATTTTATGCAAGACACTTCGAAAGTTCTAGTTTGACAATGTGTATTTTATTTATTTGTTGGCATAATATTCTAATGTTTCCCTTCAAGAAATGGAAAACAACTTGTGTC